CGGTACATAACCCTTGCCCAGCCTCACTCTTCTCCGGTACATAACCCTTGCCCAGCCTCACTCTTCTCCGGTACATAACGCTTGCCCAGCCTCTTCTCCGGTACGTAACGCTTGCCCAGCCTCACTCTCCTCCGGTACATAACCCTTGCCCAGCCTCACTCATCTGTGGTACATAACCCTTGCCCAGCCTTACTCATCTGTGGTACATAACCCTTGCCAGTGGTATATAGTTTGTTTTTTGTTTGTTTGTGACAGGGCCTCGCTTTATAGTTCAGGTTGACCTGGAACTCATGTGTAGCCTAGGCTGGTCCTGAATTAGAGCAGATCCTCTTGCCTCAGCTTCTTAAGGGATGGGACTTCAGGCGCGCACCACCACAGCCAGCCTAGTGTATAATCCTTTCATCATGCTTTTATATTTGCTTTGCTAATATTCCGTTGAGAATTTTTGCATGTTTTCATAGGTTATTGGCATGTGGTTGTCTTTTCCTGTGGTGTCTTCGGTTGCCTTTGGGATCAGGATAATATAGACCTGAGAGGATCTTTTAGGAAATGTTTTCTTCTTTTCTTTCTCTTCCTACTCCTCATTCTCCTCTTTCTCATCTCCCTCCTCCTCCTCTTCCTCATTCTTTTTGAAAGTTTGAGTAGGATTGGTATCAATTTGGTTTTTTTAAAATAAACAAATTTTATTTTATTTTTTAAATTTTATTTATGTATTTTGTACAGGGTCTCACTATACAGCTTAGACTCACAGTGATCCTCCTGTTTTCAGTCTCTGCAGTGCTGGGATTACAGGCATGGGCCACTATGCCCAGATTCAGTGGCAGGCTCAGTGCACCTGAGGATGGGGCTGGCAAGGCATGCAGTACCCGAGATCGAACCCGGTCCCTGAGCTTGCAATTTGTCTTTAACTAGTTGGTAGAATCAGCACTAAAGACTGTCTGGCTCTTGACCAGAAAGGAGGTTGTTGATTACTAATTCACTCTCTTGTTCTAAGTCTATTGAAATTTTCTTTTTCATCTTGTATTACTTTTGGTAATTTGTGTATTTTTCAGAATTCTTCCACTTCATTTACATTTTGTATTTATTGCAGTACAGTTATTCATTGAATCCTCTTATAGTCCTTTTAATGTCTCTGAGCTCAGTAGTGATGTCCCCACTTTGGTTTCTTAGCTAAATCATAGGCTTACCAATTTCGTGGGTATTTTCAAAGATGCAACTTGTGTTCTCATCATTTCTCTGAATTGTTTTTCTGTTCTCTGTTTTGTTTATTTTGTTCTAAACATCATTGTTTCTTTCCTTCCACTGGTTTGGGGTTTAACCTACTCATCTATTTCTCATTTCTTAGGGTTAAATTTAGGTTATGGATTTCAGATTTTCTTTTTAAGTATAAGCTTTTATATATACAAAGTACTTCTCAGCACTGATGTGGCAAGCACAAGAACCAGGGTTTGATCCCTGGTACCACATTCTGGGCCAGCCCCACCCCGGGCCTACTGAACCAGCGACCGAAACTGGGTGTGGTGGTGCATGCCTGTAATTCCAGCACTGGGGAGGCTGAAACAGGGGGATCACTGTGTGTCCAAGCTGCACACCAAGTATGTAAACTTAAAAAAGAAAAATAATAATAATAAATAAAAAAGAAATGTATCTTAAGTGTTTTTGTATTTCGTGCATTTTCCCCCCTGTGGGATTGCTTATTTATTTTTTTATTGAGACAGGGGCTTACCTTGTAGTTTAGGCTGGCCTTGAACTCACTATGGGGCCCTGCCTGGCCTCCAACTTGCTCAACTCCTCCTGCCTCAACTTCCTGAGTGCTCAGATTACAGGTGTGCACCACCACACCTGGCTGAGATTGTGCGCTTTAACTTTCACTTATCTCAAAGCAGTTTCTAATTTGCCTAGTGACATTTTTCTCTGATCTGTTGATTATTTAAGAATATTTGTTGAATTTCCACATATTTGTTAATTGTAGTTTTCTTTCTCTTGCTGCTTTCTGGCTTAATTCTGTTGTGATTGGAGAGGAGGAGTCTTTTCATGAATTCGGTCTTTTTAAATTTAAGAAACATCTTATGATTTAACATATGGTATCTCCTGGTGAATGTGCCGTGTGTACTGAAGAACAATGTGTACTTGCCATTGTTGGCTGCAGTGTTCTGTGTGTGTCTGTTAGGTCTAATTGCGTGATTATGTTCAGGTCCCCAGTGTAGGTTAAAAACTGAAGCTCATCAAGAAATCCAATACAGTTTATATGAATTTGAATTTATATTTGGGAGGGTTTCTCTACCCAAATTGATGTAGTGTCACGAAATTCTTTTCCCAAAAGAGCTGAAGGCATCATAATACAGTGACACATGTATGCTCAGAGAAGTGTAATTCATGACAGCTAAATCTTGGAAGTGGCATATATGGCTATTAGCAAATGAATGGATAAAACAAATGTGGTATTTATATATATGGAGAAGTACTATGCTGTCATAAAGAAGGATACTTGAGTCATTTGTAGGGAATGACTTGAGACCATAATGTAAGTTAAACAAATCAGACACACAAGTTCAATATCACATGTTTTCTCTTTATGGGAGACCCAAAGTATAAATAAAGAGGAAAATGAAAGATAGTGGGAAGTATGGGGAACAATCTTTCGCAAATGGGAAGGGGACCAAGAGATGGAAGAAGCAGGGAGAGAAAAGAGGGGGAGGGAATGAAAACAGAGTTCAGATGTGTGATGTACACAGGCCCGTTCCGCACAAAGAGTGGAATCATTTTGTGCTGCACACATGGGCTAATACGAAATCAAAGGTAGAGAAGAGTACATCTGTATTTTACACTTTCCTGTGTGTTTTCTGCGCAAGTTCACAACACAGCTGGAGGCCTTGGGTCTCTGTGTAGGTATTTTAAGAAATATGAAGACACAGGGTTGCCGCCTTTGACTTGGAAGAATCACTGCACACAGACCTGCCTGTCCAGGACGTGTTCTGAGCCTGAGTACAAGGAGCATTGGAAGCTAGTAGGTTTGAGGCAAAGCTGTGATCACTTACCGTAAATCTTGCCTGTTTGCTACATGCCAGCTGTGTAGTAAAGCTGCCTGTGAAAATAATTTCAGGAATACGAAATGCAGAAAACAAAAGAGGAAGACTTTCTGAAGTTATTTGATAAGTGGAAAGAAGAAGAAAAGGAGAAACTAGTTGATGAAATGGAAAAAGTCAAGGAGATGTTTATGAAAGAGTTTAAAGAATTAACCTCCAAGAATTCAGCATTAGAATATGTAAGTATTGAAGCTGGCAGTTCTTGTAGGGAGACCTCTCTTTTGTCATCTCTTTTTTTTGATGGAACCAGGGATTGAACTCAAGCCCCTGTGCTTGCCAGGCGAGCACTTACTCTACTGAGCTATCTCCTTGTCCCCTTCTGTTACCTCGAGACATGGTATTAGAATGGCATTGTGGCCTGAAAAAGGATCTTCACTGGCCCTGAGGCAGACACCTCCCTGAGAGTCCTGAGGAGCTCCAGGCACCCAGTAGATAGAACAAGCTAGAGGAAATGGTTTCGTTGAGATTAAGAGCTTGACCCCAAACCCTAGTACTAAACCCTGTTGGTGCATTTGATTGCCAAAGAAGCCAGTTCCTCTTTTCTTACCTGGTTAGCTTTACACTTCTTTAAATCAAAAGCCCCGTCCTGTGATGGCTGGAGAGGCTGGCCCAACCACAGTGTGGGAGGGGAAGGAGTATGGCCCAGAAAGAAGGGACCAGAACTCCTGCCAAGCTCATCTGTCACCCTTGCTCTGTCTGGTGAGAAGAATGAGTCCATAGCATGTGGGATCTGGCTAAGGGAGCCCCTGACCCCCAGGGGAGCAGCCCTCGTCCACACTGCCCTGGCCAAAGCATGGGTAGCAGACACAGATGCGACCTGCAGGGCAGGACCTTCCCCTGAGCCAGTCTGTGCCCTTTCTCTTAAGTCTTGGTTGCAGAAAAGGAGGGAACTCATGGAACGATCCTGGAGCTCCCTCTAGGGGTTAATAAGTTACAGAAACAAAAACGCTCTCTTTGAAAGAATCCTAAAGTCCTTTTTTTTTTTTGGTGGAACTGGGGATCAAACTTAGGCCCTTGCACTTGCCAGGGAAGTGCTTATTCTACAGAGCCATCTCCCCAGCCCCCTAAGGTCCTTCTCTAAGCTCTTTGTTTTGAGCTGATGTCCCTCCTCCATCCCAACACTGTCCAGTGCCCCTGTCACACTGAGCCGTCCATCTCCGTAGGCTTCTGTTGTTTTTGCTGGCTTTAACAATTTGATGACATATTGGCCGGTTTTACCAGATAAATTCTAATCCTGGTTATTGAGACTTACCAGATGCTTTCTCATGATGACTTCAGGCTTATAGGATTTGGGCAGGAAGAGCTCAGTGATAAAGTGCCACCTTCAGCGCATATTACAGTGGGTGCGCACTGTCTCCAAGATTCACCTCTGTTGGTATGGGCCCTGGTCACCTCGCTGAGCTAATGTTACTCAGAGCACTTTTCTTTACTGAAGGTTAATTCTTTCTTTTTTCTTTTTTTTTGAGCATCCCATGCGTGAACACTGGGGAATTATAACCCCACTGCTGTTACAGCAAAGGGGCAGTGGGAGAAGTGTAAGATGCACCCAGGAGCGCAGTCAGATTCATAGCCCGCTTCGTACTCCCTGGGGGTAAGCAGTGTTCCAGGCTTATACGAGTACAGTATTTGTACCAGGGGCTTTGCATTTTGTTTTGCAGCAGTTGTCAGAAATCCAGAAGTCCAATATGCAGATCAAGTCCAACATAGGCACGTTGAAAGACGCCCAGGAGTTTAAAGAAGACCGCCCGAATCCACAGGATTTCCAGAACGTGCTGCAGCTGCTCGACAGCCAGGTGTGTGGCACGGCAGGAACCGCGAGGTCCCTGGTCGGCCTCAGCGAAGTCACTCAAGTAAATGTCAGCTGCACAAAATGAGTTTCTCATTCCATCACCATGAAGGTGACTCTTATTTTTTGGTCGGCTGACAAAGGCCCAATTTGTAGTAGGTGTTCATTAAATGCTTGCTGTTGGCTAATGTATATGATACAAAACAGGAGGCAAAATTGTTCCAGCTTTTCCCTGACAGGGTCAGCATGAAAACTGGTGTTAATAAGCAGTTGACGTTATTACTTGATTTTCATGTTGCAGGTGTAGACCTCACTTTCAGAAGCCATAAAAAGGCCCACTGAGGAACCTGCTAATTTTTAGAGTTGAATTGTACCATTGCATTATTCAGCTGATGATGGTTTATATTATTTAAACATAATTACAATGATTTGAAAGTGAGCCTCAAGTGGCACAATCTTTTCATGGCTGTTTTGGTTATAGTGGTTTTGAGAAGTAATTTTTTCTTTTTAATTTTTTTTTAAACAGGGTCTCACTATGCAGTTCAGACTTGTAGTGATCCTCCTGTCTTGGCCTCCCCAGTGCTGGGATTACAGTTGTGCACCACCATGCCTGGTTCTGGGACTGGCACTGCGTGCCCAAGGTTCACAGTCCAGTATAGCATGAGTACTGGTACCAGGGATCGAACTTGGGACCTTGTCCTTGCCAGGCAGGCACTTAATGCCATTGAGCTATCTATCTAGTCCCGGAAGCAGTTTTTTAAAACCAGGGAACAAATAGATATTAGAGTTTATAAATTCAGCATGAAAAAAAAAGCTTGTGTCTCTTAAGAAAAGGTTAAATACATCTTTGAGACTTGGCCTATTGCTTCACACTTCAGGCTTGTGTCCTGCCTCCCTCCCTCAGTCTGCCTTCTCTAGTGTAGCCAGGCCACCTACGGCACTGTCCTGTCTAAAATCCTTTGGTGACCCCTGTTTCACGAGACACAGTACAGAACCCCTAGCTGGCATACTTTCTCCTGTACGAGGCCTTCTGTTCCTCTTCTCCCAGCCTGCAGGTGGCTGCCAGGCCAGGCGCCTGGTGCCAGGTGGAGCGCGAGGAGGCAGGGCCTGAACTACTGACACCTGCTCCGGTGAGCTGGAGCCCCATGTGTCCCCTGAACTGAAGGGCCAGGAATGCCCAAGGTCCTCTCAGTTTCTTGTTTTTTACCTGTGAGCAGCGCCATCCATTCAAAACACATGAACCCAAAATCCTTGATGTTTTCTCCTGGCCCTGAGAGTGGCCAGCTAGCACCATTTTTGCATATGAGTACTGGTACCAGGGAGCATAGCCACACCCGTGCGCTTACTCTGTGGTTGTTCTCCACAACCCATAGCGCTGCCGGGGTGGTCCGACCCCAGAGCCCGAAATAGTTACTGCGAGCTCCGTAATAGACTCTTTGCTTATCTTGCCTTATAGTAGACTCAGAAGCAAACATTTTCAGATATATGTAAGGCATATATAGATATACAGAAATAATATAATATATTACAATACATATTATAATATAATATTTATATATATTGCTCTAAATGCGTACCTATTTGTTGGGTTTCCCAGGTACCCACTGAGGTTTTCAGTGACGGTTGAAAGCACATCACTCGTTCTGTTCTCTCATAGGAAAGCAAGTGGACAGCTCGAGTTCAAGCTCTTCATCAGGAGCACAAGAAAGAGAAGGGTCGGGTAAGACAGAGAGCAGCACTCTAAGGGGGTCTTTTGGGGGCCTGGGCCACGAACCGTGAGTGTGGGAAGCAAGCACTGCGTCTCTGAGCTTCCTCCTAGCCCCAAGGGAGTCACTTTCTAAAAGAATTTCTTTCTTTATCTTAGTGGTAGTATTTGTCTACTTAACTCTGGTGGAAAAATTGGTAACAAAATTAAAATTACTCATAAATAACACCAAAGACAATTACTACTATTTTTTTCACTTTTCATTGGCTATAAATGTTGCATTTCTATAAGTATAGACCTCCATATATACACAAATATAGTCTTGCATAATTTATATTTTTCAATTACTGGATCATAAACATTTTTCTGTGTTTTACAATGTTCAAAGTCATGATTTTTAATGGCCTCATGATCTATGAATGTCTGAGAGTTGTTGGATCACTTCTTCATTGCTGAATAAATTTCTTTTTTTTTTAATTAATTTATTTATTTATCTATTTTGTGTGTGTGTGGCCAGTTCAGCCCACCAGGGGGCGGGGCTGGCTGGCATGTGGTGCTGGGGATTGAACCGCGGTCCCTGTGCTTTGCTTAGCTTAGTTTGTTCTAAGTAGGTGCTTTAGACCACTGAGCCATCTCACCAGCCCTAAATTTCTGATTTTTTTTTCTACTTCAAAGATGTAATATAAATAAAAGTGAAGACCATTTACATTAAAATCAGTTTAATGAACATAAAATTTACTGGGCCTCTAGATAGCTCAGCAGACTAAGTGCCTGCTTAGGCAAGTGCAGAGACCAGGGTTCGATTCCTGGTTCCACATGCTGTGCCAGCCCCACTCCCAAGCTCACTGAGCCAGCAACCAAGTCCAGGTGTGGTGGTGCACGCCTGTACTCCCAGTGCTGGGGAGGCTGAAAACAGGAGGATCACTACAAATCCAACCTGTGTCGTGAGACCCTGTATAAGAACGAAAAAACAAAACAGAAAATAAAATTTACTTAGAACATTGATGCTCTTTCACCTGCATAGGTCAGAAATTTCCATATTAAAATATATTTCCCCTTGTGCAAAAAATCTGTTTCTTAAATTTTTACACTTATTTATGTGGTACAGGGTCTCATTCTGCTGCTCAGACTGGTAGTGATCCTGTCTCAGCTTCCCCAATGCTGGAATTACAGGCATGCCTCACCATGCCTGGTTTTGGTGGTCAGCATAGCTCAGGGCTGGCATGACGTGTGGTACCAGAGATCAAACCCAGGTTCTTGTGCTTGCTAGGCAGTTGCTTAGACCCTGAGCTCTCACCAAGGCCCAGAAAATCTAAAGTACATGAGGTTGAGAAGATTTTAAAATAAGAAAGCTTGCTCATCTTTTCACTTGGAATTGTCTTTTATCCTTTTTTTTTTTGTATTTAGGACAGGGTGTACAGGATCTCATTGCATAGATCAGACTCCTACTTATCCTTCTGTTTACAGCCTCCCAAGTGCTGGGATTACAGGTGTGCGCGCCATACCTAGTCTCTTTTATCCCTTTTATGTCCCTTGTAAATCTTTCCTAATGGAGAAAAATATTTCCTCTTCCTGAACCTTTCTTTCTTTCTTACCAGAAATCGAACTCAGGACCTTGTGCTTGCTAGCTAGGGGCTTTCATCACTGAGCTATATTCCCAGGCTCTCCTACACATTTCCTACAGATTCTCCTTTCCTTTCCTTTCCTTTTCTTTCCTTTCCTTCTTTCCTTTTTTCTCCTTTCTCTCTATCCGTCCCTCCCTCCCTCCCTCTCTCCCTCCCTCCTTGTCTCTCTCCATCTCTGTTTCTTTTAGTGTTCTACATAGGATTGAACCCAGGATCTTATTTTTATTTTGAAACAATCTCAGTTGCTCAGGCTGGGCTTGAAGTTGAGATCCTCCTCAACCTCCAAGTGCTGGGATTGTAGGCTTCATTCTGAAAAGAAGTACTTAGCATAGTACTAAGCAGAGTATATGACAGGTCATATAATTGATACATGTGTAATAGCCTGATGCATGTATTGATGACCATAAAATGATTTTTTAAAAAATATTTCTAATCTTTTATTTATTTATTCATTTGGTACAGCATCTCACTGTGCAGTTCAGCCTTGTAGTGATTCTCTTGTCTCCAGCTCCCCAGTGCTGGCATTACAGGGGTGCGCCACCACGCCTGCGGTGCATGTGGTCTTAGGGTTTGAACCCGGGTCTTTGTGCTTACCAAGCAGGCACTGAGACCACTGAGCTATCTCCCAGCCCCACCACAAAATGATTGATGAACATTAATTAGCTTGGATTCCTCTTAAGTAAGACAAACTGGCTGGGCATGGTGGTGCATGCCTGTGATCTCAGCCTTTGGGAAACCAAGGCAGGAGCATCACTGCCAGGTTGAGGCCAGCCTCGACTATGTAGTGAGTTCAAGGCCAGCCTGGGCTACATACAGTGAGACCCTGTTTAAAAAATAAAAAAGTAAGACAAACACTGAGAAAGATATAAAAATCAAGAAAGAAAAAAGAGATTGAATAATACTAAAGACAAACTGAAGCAAAACCATGAAGGAAACATAGCGCCAAACACTTGCAGAATGTTCTAGTGGAACCTCAGTGGGACAGGTAAATAGTAGTCCATGATAGTAATCCATCCTTAAAATTGCACCACTTCTAGAGAAGAAAATAAGACATATGAGTTTCCTTCCATTCCATTCGTAATACCATTTACTCATCTAAATAATTTATAATGTTTATTATACAAGCACATGCATGCGCGTGTGCACACACACACGCAGTCGTCTATATAGGCTGCAAGCGCTATCACGAAGGCAGTGATTCAGGGTAGGCGGTATTTTCTGTGCCCCCCTGTGCGCTACCCTTTATATGGCTAAGAAGAGCAAGGAAACAGTCCCTGCTCTGGAGCTCTGCTGTGGGATTGCAGCACAATGGGAGAACTGAGGATGCGATGTGATGGGAGTCATGAGGAATGACACGCACGTGGCCTAGGGGTGGAAGAGAGCGTGCCGCCTGGGGCAGATGGCATGTGGGCCTTGCACTGCGTATTTCTTCAGGCTGAAGGGCTCATCTTGTGAGCGCAAGACCAGGTAACCAGCTTTGGACTTGCCTCTGAGAGCTTCTCAGATGTGACCAGGATAACATACAATTCTTTGATTTGTTCCCAGATAGGGTACTTGACACCGCAGTCCGCCCAGATGAATGGCTTGATTTCATCTCTCCCTCAGTCCTCTGTTCCAGGTCATTGGCAGGTCCTGCCAGAACCTCCTGTCCTGAGTCTTCTGTACATTTTCATTGCTCCTACAATTCACTGAGCCCCCATTATTTCTAAAGGAGCCCCCAAATTAGTCTCCTGTTCTAACCTTCCCCTTTCTTAACCCACTGTTCACAGAGTGGGTAAAATGATCTGGCTACTTGGCTGGCCTCTGTAGCTTCATCCCTTTTCTCTCTCTCTGAACATACTTCCTACCTATAATGGCTTTGGTACCAGGAATTGAACTCACAACCGTGCACTTAACCAGGCAGGCGCTTGTGCCACTGAGCTATCTCCCCAGCCTCTGACTTTATTTATTTGGCACAGGGTCTTGGTATGCAGCTCAGACTTGGAATGATCCTCCTCTCACAGCCTCCCCATTGCTGGGATTACAGGCGTGTGCCACCACACCCGGTTTTGGTGGCAGGCACTGCGCGCCCAGGATTCTGGGACTAGCACGGCATGCTGGGATTGAACCCAAGTCCTTGTGCTTGCTAGGCAGGCTCTTAAGCCACTGACCTATCTCCTTGGTACTCCCTAACTTTTTTTAGAACAAATATTGACTTTTTTTGTTCTTCACATTGCCAGTTCCTTCCTTCACCTCCAAATTTGTTTTGTATTCTTTGTGGCAAATTACCACAAATTTAGTGACTTAAATCGATCTGTATTTGTCTTCTCACCATTTCCATAGAGTAGTCTGGACTCAGGGTCCTGAGGTCCTTCTGTCAGGACTCATAAGCCATATGCCAAGTGTGGGCCGAGCTATGCTCTGGAGGTTTGGCAGCACATGTTGGGCTGAGACACTCAGCTCCTAGAAGCTGCCGCTCTCTCTCTCCACTGTTTCTCAGTGGTTGGTGGTTTCTTGAAGGCCAGCTGGAGAATGTCTTCTGCTTTCATTCTACCTTTTAGAAAAGGCTTGGAGGGTGAGAGAGATAGCTCAGCGGTCTACTATCACTTTTTTAGTCTCATAATTACAGTTCTGATATGATACCATCTCTTGTTTGTGTTTTACTTCTGGCCTCGTGCTTCTCGGGAACTGGGAAAACTAAAACTGTAGATCAGCTCCAAGTCCTATCCCCAGGCCCACATGCCATGCCAGCCCCTGAACCCTGGGCACTCCGTGGGGGGCCACTAAAGCCAAGCGTGCTAGTACACGCCTGTAATCCCAGCACTGGGGAGGCTGACACAGGATTGCTCTGAGTCTGACCTGCATAGTAAGACTCTACCAAATAAATAAAGATCAAAAAGGAAGAAAAGGCTTGGAACTTTTAAAAAGGGCTCAGGGAAGAAGAAAGGCCCGCCTGAGAGTCTTCCTTTTCCTTAGTTCAGAGATGGCAAGTTTCATCCGGGCCAAGGAGCAGGGTTCGTGTAGTGCCTGCACACTGCAGGAGGCACCTCAAGGGCCCTGTTAGGATCCTGCCAGTCCCATGCTCCTGGGCCCCCACCTCAGGTCCCCTCTGTCACCGCATCTGGTGAGACAGCCCTTCCCTCTCTTACTCTCATTGCTTCTCCAATGTAGCTCTGCTTGCTGCTGCAGTTTGTCTCCTTGCTCATGGTCCATCTCATTCCTTTGCGAATGAAGAGCTGCATCTACTGCACTCTTTACAGTCCCAGCACCCACTACTGTGCCTGACATGTCGCTGGCCCTCATTTGGAGCTTTTTGAATGCCCCTGGGTGGCAGCTAGACATCTGACCTTCTGGCTGGACTAGCGCAAAAGTTGTTTCTGCAGTTGTGATGGAGAAAGGCCGATCATTGGTGACACAGACGAAGGCGAGACCTTCCCTGTCCCCAGCCAGGGAGGTGGGTGGCCACATGTGCCGCCAGGCTGCGCTGCTCCCTCGTCTGTTGGTTTGGCTGTGTAGAAATTGCTCACCTCCCCTCCTCTTCCTCCTCCCCCTCCTCCTCCCTCTCTTATTCCTCCCCCCTCCTCTCTTAAGCTCTAACAGAGGGGTTCAGTAATCTCTGCCTGAGATCTGACTATAATTATTCCACATGATTGGTGCCTACTCTTCCCACAATGCACACATTGTGTTTCCCTGTTCAGGAGAAGTTATCTTTGCCAACTTTTTATTGCTTTACCTGGGTTCTTGGCCGTCTTGTTTTCTCTTTTTAAACTGGTAGTTCAAAGGGAGTCACAGATAAGTGGTGGCATGCCCTCTCGCCCTGGCAGGAGAGGTCTGAGAGCGTGGGAGGTTGTGGAGTAGTCCGGCCATGAAGAGAAGGTGGGCGGCCATGGGCTGGAGTTGGGGGGCAGGAAGCTTCAGTGTGAAATGGTAAATCACGGAACAGTGGGCTCAGGGCCACCAGCCTTTAGAGATAGTATCTGACTATCACCTTTTTAGTCCCATAATTACAGTTCCGATATGATATCATCTCTTGTTTGTGTTTTGCTTCTGGCCTCGTGCTTCTTGGGAACTGGGAAAACTAAAACTGTAGATCAGCTCCAAGTCCCTATGCCTCCACCCGGAGTCCAGACATGCTGCTTGCTTTCCTAGTTCAGCGTTTCCAGGCCACTTTTGGGCGTGCTCTTCCCAGGGTCTGTGTGAGTGTAGTTAGAAGTCCTTGGCAGTGTCTTCTCTGGGGGATTCCTAGGATCCCTGAGGACATGAGAGGGTGTTTTCAGGCCTCACACAGAACACTTTCTGGCGTGGTTCAGCTCAGTGTTGGTCTAGCACATTGCAGCAGAGAGCACCTGGACAGGTGTGGACTCACAGTGTTGACCTTGAAGCCAGACACGGGAGTCCAAGTCTGGGCTTTGCCCCTCTCTCCGAGGACCTGCATGTGGGCTGGGTTCTTTCGCTGTCTGGATGGGGATTTAGTGCTTGATGGGGATTAAGCAAGACTAAGTGATAATGAGCACAGCGTCTAGCACAAAACGTGTTGATTAAAAAACTAGGGGCTGGACATGGTGTTGCACACCTGTAATCCCAACAGTCAGGGAGGCTGAGGCAGGGGGATCACCAGGTAAAGCACAGCTTGGGTGACTCGGTGAGGTCCTGTCAGAAAAAAGTGAAAAAGGCTGGGGGTAGGTATAGCTTAGTACAAACTACTTGGGTTCAGTCTCCAGTCCTGCAGAGAAAACAAACAACAAAACCATATCAGGAGATGCTGCCTGGAATCTCTTCCATCCTCACAGCTGATAGAGATACTGCTGGTCCCTCTGTTTGATCTGCACGCACACTGTCCAGGTTAGGCTTGGGATAACTCGCCCTAATTACCAAACTTGCCCTTGCTCCCCTCCATTTAAGCAACCACTGAAATTGCTTAAAAAGCCTTTCCCTAAATTGCTGGAAAATTCTTGCAATCTTTTGGTCCAGTGTGTGATCTTCCCTGACATTAAGTCTCTAAAGAAGGACCCCTGCCTGTTCTTCATCTCTTCTTCCCTTCCTCCATTCCTTCCTCCTTTACTCTTTTTCCATCTGTTCCTCAACTGCAAATCCCCTGCCTCATTTTTTCTCAGGAAATATTTCTGGAAACTTTTCTTATTCTTTTTACTTTTTTAAAAAAATGAGACAGGTCTTACTGTGTAGTTAGGGTACCACTGAACTCACGGTGTAGCCCAGGCTGGCCTTGCACTTGGATGAGTGCTCAGATAGTTTTCTCTGCCTTGGGCCATGAGCTCCTTGGGAAAGGGTGAAGCACCTCATAGGACCATGGCTTTGACACTGGGAGACTGAAGGTTTATCCAGTGAATGCTGTATACAGACAGCATAAGGCTCTCAGGGACGTCAAGGCGTGTACACAGACTCTTCAGAGCTGCGGTGGTAGCTCGTGCCTGTAATTCTAGCACTCGGGAAGCTGGGCAGGAGGATCACCATGAACTGCGGCCAGTCTCGGAAACGTAGTGAGTTCAAGGCCACACCCTGAACTACATAGTGAGACCCTGTCTCAAGAAAGCAAAAAACAAACACAAAGTGTGGCAAGGAGAAGGCAACTGCATGTAGCTTGCAGATGGAGGCCTCAATTCTTTTGCAGCTCCTGTCCCACATAGAGAAACTTCGAACTTCGATGATAGACGATCTCAATACGAGTAATGTTTTCTATAAGAAAAGGATAGAAGAGCTAGGCCAGAAGCTCCAGGAGCAGAACGAGCTGATCGTCACTCAGAGGCAGCAGGTATGTCTGGCATCGACTTCTGTAGGCATCGCCGTTTATCAGAGAGCATGGGTTTTAGCTTAGACCACTTGGAAGTTGTGGAGCTGCGCTATTTCCCCCCTTTCAATGACTTGGACATTGAAATAAAAAATTTAGAAAGGTATTTGAAAGTAACAGACAGCAGATTTATTCAGTTAGAATTCAGTGTAAGCTTGAAGGTAGATCAGAAGCAGCCACATCCAAACATCCTGCTTCTATTTATGAGGCTTGCCTCTGTGCTGTAAGATGCCTGTGACCCGTGACTCTGGGTGATTTAGCAGAAAGTTAACTTACTAACAACCGAAGCCATTATCCCATCGGTTCCTGTTGAGTCGCAGGCAGGAGTCAATAGAACATTGTTTTCTTTTGCAGATTAAAGAGTTCGCCAGTAAACCATTGAGCAGCATCAGTGAGCCCAAAGGTGAGGGGACAGGACCCCATGTGGGCCACGCTGGGAGGAGGAGGACGTGGGCCTGCTGACTCGTGTGTCCGGGGAGGCCTTCCTCTGAGTATTTTAATCTGGAAGATCGGTCCTCTTGGCACTTTAATTGGCAGTTCTCATATTGCTTCACAGAAAGTCACAGAAGTTCACAAATTTTACGCTGTCATTGAATAGTTTCATGTTTAAAACTCCAAATACATTGTGCCTGCTCTCTAACCATTTACCTTTGGTAGGACAGTGTGAGTATTAGATGCACAGGGTCAGAGATCATTGGGGTTCGATATCCATCTTAGGTGCTTTGTAATGTCACATATCTCCCCTAAGTTTTCACAGGCTTGTTCCGAGGGGATAGCAGGGTCTCCCCTTGCGAGGCATCCCTGTTAATAACATCCGTTATCGCCAGCTATTCTGATCTTATTAGACGTCATCCTAAAGTTCTACTAGGGCTCCCTGTGCTCTCCCCATCGCGGAATTTTGCAGATGGAGGTTGATTCTCAGCATGGTGGGGGCAAACATAACCTGCTGATGGGACCAATGCCAGCTGGCCTGTCTCCTGTCAGTCAAGTGCAAAACTGGAAGGGAGCTTGGAGCCCCCAACAGTGGTGCCTAAAGCTTTGGTGCCCTAAAGCTTTGGTGCCCTTCTGCCAGGCCTTGCCCCGCGGGTTCTAGCCTTGGTTCCTGTGCTGCTTGCATTGTTCAGGAATCTGCCATTCTGAAGGAGGTTAGGGCTGGGTAGTGGGGTGTGTGAGGTAGGTTTCCTTCCCTTTTGAGGTAAAGGTTGATGAAAAAGAGCACTTTAATTTGCCTTCAACTTCTCTTAGAATAGTGACATTTCAGATAATGAGAGATACCTGTGAAACAATAATATATAACCTTAACCATTACATTATTCTTATACCTGCATGATTATCATTATTTAGATATCCTAAATATGTGAATAAAGTAATTTCTAGGACAAATGTAGCTTTAAAAAGATTCACATTCAATATATTTATTCTGTTGGGTAAGGCTCGTTACATTTGTAAATTTCATTTGTTGTTTTTCTAGAGGAGAAAAGCTGGGCTACAGGCTGCAAAATTTAATCTATAGCTTGTGATTTATGTTGTTAACATTTTTTGGTTTTGTCATTTCAGGGAATTCTTTAACCTGGCAAACTTTTGAATCTAAGTCAGCTGCCCCTGCTGTACCTGGTAAGTTTCTATAATAGGTTCTGGGCTTTACATCAATTTTTTGAAAGAAGACAGTAATCCAAGCTAAAATTTTTACCTATTTGTTATTTTTAGAGATTCCTTTGGAAGTTGGTGCACTTGGTTATTACATAATTTATCTTTTGATTCTTGGCTAAAGCCCCAGATTGTAAATGTCACGTGATTTTCCTGGTGCTTTTGGTGGGTTGTGCCCCTGCTTCGCAGTCCCTCTCCTAAGGTGGTGGCTCATGCGTCTTTGGCAATGCTCTAGTGTGCATCCTTGCATGACCATGTGGCCACTTGCGGTGGCTGCCACATCTTGGCATGGTGGACTCCCTGCGCTGTCCCGATTGATACTGTCAGGCTCTGCCCTGTCCTCCTCATGGTTGGCTTGGCCATCTGATCTGTCTCCCAGATCTGTCAGATTCAGCAGTACTCTAAAAAGAAATTATTACAGTTAGAAATGGACAGGTTGTTTTTCAAAACAACAGTTAAGTAGTTGAGATATTTTAGTTTCTATTCAGAGATGAGTAAGAGTAAGGCAGCAGAGAGAACCTGGGGGGTGGGCAGGGGACAGTAAGACCGGCTGCATGCACGGAGGCCTGACTGGTGGTGGAGGCGCCAGGACTGGGGCTGGCCACAGAGGGACACTGCGCTGCCACACATGTGGCCAGCAGTCACCAGAGGGCTCTGTAGTGACCAAAAGACATTAAGGAGCAAGTTCTGGAACTTGGCACAGTTGATTGGAAAGTGATAATGGTTTTAACCACTCAGTCTTCTCAGGTGCTTCTCAAAGCTGAAGAGGTCAGAAGTAGAGAGGGGGAGAGGTATATGGCGAGGGGAGAGAAGAAGGCTGAGGCAGGAGGACTGTAAGTTCAAGCACAGCCTGGCCTGTGTAGTGACTTAGCAGGACAGAAGAGCTGGGGATGTTGTTTAGTACAAAAGCCCTGACTTCTGCCCACAAAACACTGTACCTTATGATTCCATGTACACAAAGTGTCCAGAGTAGGTAAATTTATAGGAACAAAAGGAAAAATACTTTTTGCTAGGGTCTGGGGCTAAGGGCAAAAATGAGGCGCAATGGTTCATAGGCACTTATTTTGGGGGACTTGAGAAGATAAAAATGCTCTAAAGTTAGGTAGTGATTATAGTTCCCAATTTTATGAAAATACTAAAACTCACAGAATCACATATGTTTAAAAAGCAAATTATAGCTCAAGCTACTATAAAAATTAGCTCAGTTATATGGTATCCATCATTCGGACATTTATCCCTCTGGCCTGTATCTAATGACTAATTTGAGGAGTATTGGACGCTTACGTCTCAGTGATAGAGCTTTCCTTTTTGTTCTGTTTCAGGGAACGCTTCAGGCCCTCAGACTCTGGAGGCCAAATCTAACTTAGCAGTGGCACATGGTGAGTTTCAGCTGTAGTAGCCCTCCGTGTTTTATGCTCTGTTTCCACCTTGAGTTAGATAATTTATTAACCAGAGTTCTGGGGGTTAGGGTAATTATGTAACCACGCAAACACTTTAGTGATTACAAAACAGTTAATAAAATTGCAGGGCTCCCATGTACTATTATTACCAACTAACTCTACCTACCCAAGTTATAACGTGTTTGTATATATATATATATATATGTTATCAGACTGACAGAGATTTTTAATGTTGAGTGCTACCTTGATCAGTCACCCTCATTCTTAATAAGGGTGACTTGCTACCAGACAAGCCAGCTAGCACACGCCACGGGGCATGTGTGGTTGTTTTTATAACTTTCAGTGTGACATCAAGTCACCTTTTCTAAACAAACAGCTTCAGTGATTGGTTAGGAAAATAGAGGGGAAAAAAATAAATGGTGGCGGCCAAAGGAAGCGAGAGGATGAAGTTTCACTAGGTGACGTGGTTGCCAGGATTCAGTTCTTGGACCAAGCCGGAAGGTTCTAATTGTTATTCACACAATCCAGTGGTGGGGTGAATCTCGGTAGCCTTATTTCACTTTTTGTACAACAAAGGTGTATGTACATTTTTATTCTATGTTGTTTAATGATGTCCTAAACTCTGCTGTATATTACAGTTGAATCAAGAGGGGAAGATTATTTTTTTCCTGTCTTATCTATAAATACTTCAGAATCTAATCATTTGTTTTAGGGTTTTTTTTTTTAAAGTTTAGACTTAAATCTCTGATCTAAGTGATCAGTTTAGTGAGACTTTTTGTCTCCCTAAGTATTTGTTCTACATGTGGTAGTCTTTAGTGATAGTCTTTTTTATTCATGATTGTATTTAAGTATGAAGTACTGGGCCTGCCTGATAGCTCAGCAGACTAAAGCGCTTAGGCAGAGTGCAGCGGCTGGGGTTCAATCCCCAGCCTGTCGTGCTGGCCCCACCCGTGGGGTTCGCTGAGACAGTGATTGAGACTGGGTGTGGTGGTGTGCACCTGTAATCCCAGCACTTGGCTGAAAACAGGAAAATCACTATGAGTTCGATCTATGTAGTGAGACCCTATAGACCTGTAGGCCCTGTCCTAAATACAGGAAAAAAAAGTATGAAGTACTTCAGGGAAGTGCTTTTTTTTTTTTTTCACCCCGGAACCAGGGAAGTACTCATTCTACTGAGCCATCTCCCCAGCCCCAGTATGAAGTACTTCATTACTCATTAATTATTTGATTACTCATTTTTTCCATGAGGTTTTTTTGTTTTGTTTTGTTTTTAGTGGAATCAGTTGTTTTGATATTTAGTACAAATTCTACAGGGTCTCACTACACAGAACAGACTTATAGTGATTCTCCTGTTTTCAGCCTCCCAAGCTCTAGGATTACAGGCACATACCATCACGCCCAGTCTCTGTGCGGGGGCAGGGCTGGCTTGGCACCCCAAGGATCGAACCCCCGGCCCTTTAATCCGCTGAACTATCTGGCTGGCAGTTTTGATTACAGTGTGTAATATATAAATTAGCCACATACCTGATCTTATTATATACAAGTGTTGAGAGCAGGCAGATTCTTCCTTTGGATTTATAACAGCTAATGTGCATGTTAGGCATATGTAAATTTACTTTATTTTAATTTTATTTTTTTTATGTCATGACAAGAAGTATGTATTTAGAAGACCAGAATGACAGGTATTCCAAGCGTGACCCTTCTATTACACATTGCTATCTTCAGTGCAGTTGCTTGGTTCACAGGTATCAGCATATAGAGTTAGTCAGGGTGAGAATCCTACCAATTAACTGCTAGTTTCAAAAACCCGCTGATGCTTCTCAGGATCATTGCCTTGCCCATCTTGTGTGTACAAGTGTATGGCTTTGTTCCTGTCCTGTTTCCCAGCTTTTTTCCTTACCCTCTCCTCATTGTCCAATCCTCAAGTTCTCGCTTTCCTTTTAGTTGTGTTATACCTTTCTGTTTGTATTTCTTTGTTTGATTTCTTATACTAGGGAGACTATAACGATATTTACACATGTGGGTAAATTTATTTTAGCATTCCAAATTCAAGAAAATTATCTCTAGCGTTCATCCTTTACTTATATTATTATACGTTAGGCTTAAAATCTCTTTCTTGCCTCTTTTAGGGCTGAGTTTGGTAAGGTTTCTTGGCCATTAAACCTTGGAGTTTTGACAGTGTATTTTAGATTCTTTGCGTTTTTCCTTGCATTGTTATTATTAACCTTCTGAATGGCGTTCTGCATGGCCACGCTTTTCGTGTTGCGTGTCTCTTTGTTGCTTAGTAAGGGACCCAGAATGGGGCCTCAGCTGTCTGGGGCTGGTTCAAGGGCCCTGATGATGCTTCAGTGCTACATGCTCTCCATGGACTCTACCTGGACTGGCCAGGGCTGCAAGAAGCAGCCGGACCACCTTCCTGGATCTACTAGAATTAGACTACTAGTTTGAAATGCTAGCCAGACCTGGAAGGGGGCCCACAGCCTCAGAGCTGAGGGCAAAGTTGCTTTAGGAACATCTCGGTGAGCAGGAGAAAAGGGAAGGTTGGCCAGAGCCCGCACATGTTGCTCCCTGGCCGTGGCACCTCCTCCAGTATATGCAGGCAAGAGGGAGGTTACTCTCTCCAGCTGTGGCCCTTCACGGAAGGGACCCACTGTGAACTGTGGTAAGCCATCGTGGCCAGCAGCATGTTGGGCCTGAAGGGGGTTTGGGCAGAAATGGGAACTTTGGTAATTCCCCTCCTTTAGACTTTGCTATCCAGGCTGAGCATCACAGTCAAATCTGATTCTAGCACTCAGCAGGAAAGGAACAAAGAAACATGGATTTTGAAGAAAATTGGTGATCCTGCTCGATTGCCACGCACCAAGTGTTTCCTGGAAAACTTCTCAGGTTTTTAGTATCCGTCACTGGAGAACACACTGCACAGGGGTTGTGATAATATCCAGCCCATGCGCCAGCTGCTTAGGTTGGTCTGATAGCTGGGGCCCCCTTAGTGCAAACTGTCCATCTTCTTAGAACAGAGAGGCTACAGAATTGCCTCTGCCAACACCCGTGGGTACCTGCTCAATTCTAGCTGCACTAAATTAAAGACCTCCTTTAATTTAATGTGCACGTGGTGAGGGGTTGATGCGCTCCCAGCTTTGTGTTGTAGCTAGAACGAGGGCCACAGAAGCAAGTAGTTAAAAATGGGGAGCAGCCCGAAGGTTTTAAGTCTGTAATAGTTGGCTTTCAAGAGGCAGAAATTTTTTTCTCTTAAGTTTTTAAAAAATCATTTATTTATTTATTTATTTGGTACAGGGTCTTACTAAGCAGCTCAGTCTTGCAGTGAGCCTCCTGTTTCATCCTCCCCAACTCTGGGATTACAGGCCTATGCCAGCATGCCCGGTTTGGGCATGTGCGGCCAGCATGGCATGTTGTAATGGGGATTGAATCTGGGTCCTTGTGTTTACCAGATGGGTGCCTAGACCACCAAGCGATCTCCCTAGCTGAAATTTTCTTTTTTAAAATTGGACTTTATAGATATTACATTTTTCTCTCCGTGTTAATAGTTTATATCTTGAAATACTAAAATTTAGCACAGAACTTTATTTTTTCTTTTTTTTAAATTAAACAAATTTTTTATATAAATTTTTTATTGAGAAATAAATAAGAATGAGACAGCTTCACAGCTCATTAATAGGATAGGACAGCTTTGATTATCAATACATTGTACATTGTTATCTTCTTAGTGGTTATCCATAGTACGAGAAGCAGACAGGATATTCTGTCCAAACACTTAGCACAGAACTTTGGTTTGAGCAATAGTTTATTGTCCAGTATGTGACAAGCAGAATATTTTAGAATTGTGGTGGCTCGTGACTCTCAGTAGAGACAAGGATGGCTTTCCCTCTGAGTACCATTGCCAGACCATTGCAGAAATGGGCTGCCTACTACTGAAGGGACATCTCAGTCCAGTGGGACTCGACCTTCTGGATGACAGCAGGTTCGATCCCTGCAAAATGATCATGCTTGCATCCAGTTAAAGAGAGATGTATGCAAGTGGCTGGCATTGTAGATTTATATCCTGAGAGAGCCTGAAATCTTCAGTGGAGTCTTGTCCCTTAGAGAAGAATTGACATGCCTCTTCTGGTGATGGCGCTCCTCCACAGGGTCCAAAGCCGCTCTTGCCCTCCCTGCTGGTCACAGACCACTGGGCACTGGTGCATAGCTTTGGACTTATGCCTTGCATGGCCATGCGGTAGGCACAGTAGAGAAAGAGAGAAGGCAGAGACGCAGGCTTCCCTCAGAGCATCTAGGGTCTGTTAGTGAACTAAAATGCTTACAATCCTGGTACAAGGCAAAAGCCACTGACAAACTAAAGTACAGTAAAAGATAAACCATACGACTTTTTAAAGCTGAAATTAGTGTGTCCTTCCCAAATCTGTGTTTTCAGCAACTCTAATTAGTAAAGCAGCCTATTTGTATAATTTGAGAATCTTGATGCTACATAACAAATTTGAAAGGCACATTTTGGATGTTCAGTAGTTATGGTTCTTGGGGGGACTTAAAACACTTTCAGAGGACCATTTCTGGATTTCAAAATTAAAGTGGTCTCCTACTTAGCAGTAGGCCATGTTCCAAAAATCGATTTGAAAATACTGTAGTTTGAAATGCACTTCTCCCAGATAGCCAGTGTTAGGTATACTGACTGAGTTGTTGGTCAAGCTGTAAGAGCCACTTTATGTATACTAAATCCATCTATCTATCCATCCATCCATCCATCCATCCATCCATCCATCCATCCTTCCATCCTTCCTTCCATTCATTTATATTACAACACCATACATACCCTTACATAAATCCCGATGTTCCAAGTAGGAGCGTTAGATGTGTGATATCTTAGCTCCATTCCTGGTCACCTGGTGAGAACTCAGCGATTGTTTTCCGCCGTTATCCCAGCCCATCACCTACTCTGGGGCTAGAATGAAATGACCTTCACCTGGGGGTGATGTGGGCTACAAGGTGAGGGGGGGCTGGGTGTCAGTTTCCAAGCTGCAGCTGAGTGAACCGTGTGCCACCCAAGCCAGACCTGCTGGTTGCATTTTGTCCCACGTTTAATGCCTGACCGCCAGCCTTACACCTTCCTCATGGAGGGAATTTCCGTTTCTAGGTTGGGGCTGGGCCTTACTCATGGTGCTGGTAAGTTTCTTTATGTATGCAGGCAGCACTTCTTCCTTTGGAGAATTCGCCAGAGAGTTCCTATCTGAGGGGCTATTGGGAACGATCAGACCTCCACTTGCCCAGTTATGGATTGTGGGTCTTCTCCAGCCCACCCCTCACCCCGACCCTTCACCTACACCCGGCTCCAGGAGCAGAATGGGGTTTAGAACCTGGAGTAGGCATGTAGAGTGGAGGCACATGGGAATGACGAATGCATTTTACTCCGCTGCTGACCTCGCTCCCACCTGGTTCTACCGCCTGAGGACCCTGGCAGTACTGCTGGGGGCAAGCAGGACATAGGAAAGCTGAGCCTCATGATTTTTTTTTTTCAATTGAAATATTTGCACATCTGATCAAAACACTGCATAAGTGACAAAGATCTTTTACAATCATACCCTCCCCCTTTTTATTTTTTTATTTTTTCAGTACCAAGGATTGAACTCAGGATCTTACACTTGCCAAGCAGGCACTTAAATCTGCTGTGCTATATCCTAGCCCAAACCCCGTAGTGTTTAAAAAAGGTTGACAAGTTCAGCGCTTTAACTTGATCACAGTTGTGTCTTTATACTTGGCTGCTTTGAAGCTCATGGAATTTGTTACTCAATGAATTTTGATGCAAAGATCGTGTCCTGGTTCTTATCACACACGAGCTAGACCTCGTTGGTATCAAATGCCTCTTGCTGCCATTCCATAGCTGGCTGCTGGTTTGTAATCCTCATGGGCTTCATTAATGTGACTACAAAGGTTCCACTATATTAAAAAAGTACAATTTCCTGAGCGTGGAATTCATGGAATATGCAGGGAGGTTGACAATTCCAGGAGACAGTGACCAGTTTTCACTGACTGCCTTGATGTTTTGTCTTAGTAGATTCTTGCTATGTGAACATTATATATAATTTAAGAATCACATCATCCAATACTGTTTGTGAGGAAACTAATGCTACTTTGCTGCTGTCCTGTCTGTACTGTTCTTATTTCTCCTCGTTAATAGAACAGGCCTTCCCGTCGCACATACTGGAACCAATAGAAGAGCTCTCAGAGGAAGAAAAAGGTAAGGAAGGGCTTGTGCAGGGTGTCCTTACATAGACGGTATGTGTATGCCAGGACCCAAACCTTGAACGCACAAGCCAGTGGTCGTATCGAAGTCAGAAAGGACGTGTAGGTCTGGATTGCATTTTATTATCTTATTTCTCTCACTTATTTTGCCAGCTTTGTTGCATTCTTATGAAGATAGATTAGTAAGAAATTTCCTGTGTTAAGACACTTGAAGATAAAACGTCTTTATTTCAGTGCACTTGGTTTCTGCCCAGATAACAGGTGGCCCCACGTGTGGCATACCAGATGCTACGAACCTTTTTTTGGTTGGTATTTTAGTATAGGGTCTACGGGGTCTCACTACACAGATGGGACTTGCAGTGATTCTCCCGTTTTCAGCCTCCCAAGCGCTGGGATTAAGGCGTGTACTACCACGCCCATTCTCAGTTGCTGTCTCAGCGCGTCCTTGGGTCTGGACTGACACACCATGCCAGGAATTGAACCCTGGCCGCTGGGCTCTGCCTAAGGAGGCAATTTAGTCTGCTGAGCTATCTGGCTGGCCCTTGGAACTTTTGTTTTTGAGTCTCCCGCTTTTTTGAACAATATGGAACTTTTTGTATCAGCAGTGATCTCTTATCCCCTAAATCTGAGGCCAGCCTGATTCCAAATTCTTTTAAAATCGAGAAAAACAAAGTCTAAGCTCTGCATGTGGAAAGTTATGTGCGAAATGTCTGCGTACCTGCTAAAGTTTTGGGAGATTAAATCATTACTTATTTTACTTGGCACTGCTAAAAATCATTATTAATTTTTGGAGTTTATAAAAAATGTATAATTTTAAAGTTTTTAATACTAGACTTGTAGATTCAGAAAATACTTATGTTCAAATTTATCATGTTTTTCCTTATTAATAGTAATAGTTACTATCTGTTACTTATTTAGGAGAAAGGAAATTATAAATGCACATGCAGGTACTAGTTTTGTAATTTTTATCAAGAAGTAAAATTATATATTCTAATGATTAAACTCTTAATACATCTTACAACTTCTGTATTGTATAGAATTTTACCAAGGTTTTATTTATTTTTTATTTTTTTGGACTTCTAAAAATTTCTTTAAAAATTTTTTATTTTAAAGGAAAAGAAACTAAAAACAAAAAGACCAAAATTCCAAAACAATATGATAGGAGGGTAGCGATGGCCAACACATTGCATGCTGTTACCTTTAAATCAATTACTCAGAGTGCACGATACTAGCATTTAATTATCCAAACAGTATCAGCACAAACTTCTATGCTTGTTTTGACTTCATGAGACAAAGTTTCTTTGTGCAGTTCAGGCTGGCCTTGAACTCACTTTGTAGCCCAGGCTGGCCTCAGACTCTCGGAGATCCTCCTGCTTCAGCTAAATTTTTGTAATGCTTTACACAGAGATTTGACCAAAGCAAGCATATTTATGATATCTGCACGATGTATATTTTCAAAGCTTTGTCTTGCTGGAGTCATCAGTACGTTTTGATGTTTGTAATGCAGTTTGCTTATTTTGCTTCCGTGTATCTTTGCAACTTGTCTTGACTTGCTATCATATTATTCACGTAGTGCTTATAGTTGCCACTGGTCTTTTTATTTAGTTTTTTTTTTTTTTTTTACTGGGGATTGAATTCAGGCCCTTGAACTTGTCAGGGAAGCGCGTATTCCACTGAGCCATCTCCCCGGCCCCATCGTTTTTGGTTTTTTGAGGCTACTCTGCCATTCAGATTGGCTTGATCCATACAGCCCAGGCTGGCCTCAAATCAGGGCGATCCTCCAGCCTCAGGCTTGTTACTGATTTTTAAAATGCATTATGTTGGTTGCCTAATTCCTTATATAATTTTTATATTTGTTGCCCCCATGTTCAGAAACCTGTTTGTTTCAGAAGAAGAATATAAAAAAATAGAGTTATGAGGGAAGTTTGGGGTGGCCTAAGAAGCATAACTTTAATAACTGAGATCATCACCCTCTGTGGGACAGTTGCCTTGTGTTGTTAGAGAAAGGGGTGTGTAGGTCAGGAGCATTGCCCCTGGGGTGTGAAGGGCGCCCCGTGCTCCAGTGTGCAGGGTAGTGCCCTCAGGCCCGTCCATTGCCATGGGGCGAGACACAATGCAGTTGCAGTATCAGCTGCTGTTGTACAGTTAGTTGCCAGTGTTTTAAAATCTGAATATTTCACAGAAGCATCCTGATTTCTGACCTCTCAAAACAATGGGAACCCTGGTTACAAGGCCTATGGTAGCAACATGTAGTGGGCTGGATATGCAGCCCCAGGCTCCTGACTGCCCCAGTCCTCCCTTGCCCCCTGTATGACCTGTGTTTTGTGTAGGCAGATGTGTTAGTGAGCCCTATCTGTAAAGAGAAAGACTGCTTAAAAATCATCATTTAAGGGCCGGTGAGATAGCTCAGCTGACTAAAGTGCCTGCTTAGGCAAGCTCAGCGATGGGGGTTCAAGCCTCAGCAGGGAGGCTGAAAACAGGAGGATCACTACGAGTCCAAGCTGCATAGTGAGACCCTGTACCAAATACATATAAATAAATAAATAAATAAATAAATAAATAAGTAAGTAAAATCATTGTCTAAGTGATCTTCAACCATTCTGGTGGTTTCCTGAGGATAGGATGAACTGATCTCTCCCTGCTTCAATCCTGACTCATTTTACCTGCAAGTAACATCCTTTCCTCTTCCTATGAATGACTCATTTACAAATGTCCAAGACATAAAATTCCTTAGTTGGAAGAATTTGGGAGATGAGTCCTGAGATTCATAGTGAGACTTCAGCTGCTATAGATCACGTATGTGGAAAATAAGTCAGCAAGGACTCCAGGAGGAATTGTGACTTGTCTGCTGTCACCAGCAGCGTCTGAGGCCCAGGTCCCACTCTTTGCAGCGCTGTGCCCAGGTTTGGAGTTCTGCCCAATTCAAGACTGAGTCTGGGATCACTGCCAGCTGATGCCGCCCACGGTTGTCGCCTTGTGGGCACGAAGTTGCCATCATTGGTTGTTGGAGAACTGGACCAGGAAAGAAAACAGTCTCTGCCATCCTGTGTGTCTCTAGACACAGCTCTGGAGAGAGCAGGAGGGTGCAGAAGCCCGTGAAAGCTACCGCAGAGCCCACGTGCTACGGAAGTCAGCCGCCTTCTTTTAGCACCCTGCAGTGTCAGCATGCTGGCAGCGGATTAATTACCATCAATAAATTCCTCAGCTTGTGCTAACACTTTGCAGATAAATGCTGGTGGAGCGAAATTTTGGCAGAGCTTCACAAAAACATTGTGGCTGTTACTGAGAAGTCACCCAATGCATGCACACACATTTCTGTGTGTAGCATTTGCTTTTTAAAAATAATTTGTAAATCATCTGTCTGTCTGTCTGTCTATCTATCTGTCTATATCTATCTATCTATCTATTTGGTGCAGTCTTGCTACGCAGCTCAGACTAATGTTGTTCATTCTGTCTCAGCCTCACCAACTATGGGATTATAGGCATGTGCCACCATGCCCGGTTTGAGTGGCAGGCTCAGCTTGGGGCCAGCATGGCATGCAGTGCCAGGGATCGAACTGGGGTCCTTGCACTTGCCAGGCAGGCGCTTAGACCACTGAGCTATCTCCCAGTCCAGTGTTTCCTTTTTGACAGTTGTGTGGGGCCACATTTGACCTTGCTGTCTTAGGTGATATTAGATTGTGAGGACCACAGAAGTTCCCAGAGCCTGTTTTATTTTTCAAAAATTTGAAACATGGGTTTTGTGAGTCGGCTTGAGGTTATTGGGTGCAGTTAGTGACCATGTGAGTACTAAAGTTGAGGCTTTTTGCTTTCTGGGCTTTAATGCAAAAAATAAAGGGAGAAAGCAAGCCGGCACAGCTGTGCGGAACTAGCTGTGTATCCTCTGGGGGAATCCATACTTCTCTGGTTTTTGTACCCGCTATGAAGAAAACCGGAGGTTCAGGGCTAGCCAAATAGCTCAGCGGATTAAAGCGCCTGCTAGCAGGCGCAGGGGCCAGGGGTTAGATCCCCGGGTTTGCTGTGGTGGCCCCAAGCCCAGGGCATGCTGCGAAGGCAATTGAGACTGAGCGTGGGGGCACACGCCTGTAATCCTAGTTCTTGGGAGGCTGTAAACAGTAGAATCACTATGAATCCAATCTAGTATTGAGACCCTGAACACCCTGCAGACCCTTCCCTAAAAATAAATAAATAAATAATAAATAAATAAAAATAAAAGAAGAAAAGAAAAATGAGGAGGTTCATAGTTTAGAACTTCTAGGGTGTTTTCTTTTTAAGTTACTTGCTTTGCACTGCAATTATTTGCTCGTCACAAATGAGCTGCTTGCCTGACGTAAGTGACCACGTGTGCCGGCCTTTGTGCTTTGGCCTGGCCATCTGCTGACCTGCATTGTGCATTTTACCAGACGGCATGCTAAATTGTAGAAGGTTTTGTCTTGTTGGTCGTGCTGAGAAATGCGCGGTTTCACAGGAAGCTTTGCCTGTGCTGTCTTTTCTAATGACTGCCTGTACCTCTACCCCAGAGCACTGCGTTCTTTTCCTTGCTTCCCCCAGCTAGCCCCAGTCTCCAAAGACTCGCCTGCCAAGGGCTTTGTGGTTGTTCACAAATGGCTTACCAGCACAAAAGTAGATCTGAGGGCAAAGGCTCATTTTAAGCTGCTATTCTTAGGTCATCAAAAGGAACTTGGCATCGGGCTTAAGGGTGACTGTACACAATGGGGAATGAATGCAACAGCAGATACCAGAGGCTTTGAGATTTCTAAAACTCGGCTCAGCCGCTCTTGGCATCGGTTGGCCCTCTCCATGGCCCAATGGCCCAGTGTAGACAGGGCCCAGAGCCCCTGTTTTGCCCCAGCTTCTGCATACTTCCTTTTACATCTGATACACTGGCCAAATATTAGCTTTGCATAATCAGGGCAGGACACGAATCCAGTGCAGTGTTGACAGTGTGACTTCCAGGCTGTCTAGCGCTTCTTTATTTTTAACTGTAGATGGTTGCAGGGGTCTAGCTAGAAGCCAGAGCAGCAGGTGACACAGTGGCTGGCACTAAGCTCTCTAAATTTAGGATTGCTCTTAGGACAGGAGTGTTTTTTAGGTGGTTTCAGAATTTAAAAAAAAAAAAAAAACTGATAGTCAATCAGCACCATAAGTGCCAAGATTATATAATTTAAGATATTTCCTGTGTTTAGTCATATAATCGTGCACAGCTTGATAAAGTATCTTCATGGGCTGGGGATTTAATTCAGCAGTAGAGCACTCACCCTCGTGCGTGGGGTCCTGGCTTCCATTCGTAGCTCTGTCCCCATAAACCCAAAAAGTATCTTTATTTTTTATTTATTATTTATTTCTTGTATTTTTTAGGGAAGGGCCTACAGGGTGTTCAGGGTCTCACTACTAGATCGGACTTATGATCCACCTGTTTATAGCCTCCTAAGAGCTGGGATCACTAGCGCGCACCACGCCCAGTCTCAACTGCCATCTCAGTGCGCCCTGGGATTGAACATCTGGCCCCTGCACCAGGTTGCAGGTGCTTTAATCCGCTGAGCTATTTGGCCAGCCCTCAAAAAATGTCTTTATGCAGGATTTTCTTCCTTCTATTCAAGAGTATAAATAGTAATTAGACTAGTTTTGGTTTAAGTAAAATTTTGTGAATAGAAATATCCTTTAGTACCGGAATTGAACAGACGTCTAGAATGAACATTTAGAAAAGATGGTTTTTCAGGATCTTCTGTCAAACCGCGCGCTGTGGGCACTAAGGGTTCCATCTCCTGAGGCCAGTGAGGCCGTGGGAGGGAAGGGAGTGTTTCCTGGGCCTGGCTTGCGCCCCCCACCGAGCGAAAGGCCTTGGATGTGGTCCTTGCTGGTGAAGCACTCTCGCTCAGGGAGGCATCTTCTGATCGTGGTACAGTTGGCAGTCTCTCCAGGATCCGGCTTGGACATTCACTCAGGGTCCCAGCCTGCCAAACACTGGGTCTTTTTCAGTAAAGTCTTTGGTTATCTTGAACTCAGACTTTTAAAGGTGGTGCCATCCAGACCTGTTCTCCAAGCTCTCAAGCTAGACTTTGTTCCCAGTGGGGATTAAAGTGCTCTGGGGTGAGCTGGCCATGTAGCTCGGTGGTGGAGCACCTGTTTAGCATGAAGACGAAAAACAGTAAGAGGCACAGCATAGGGAAGGGAAAGTAGAGGGATATGGCCTGCATGTTTTGGTTTCTTTGTTTCAAACCCTAGGTTGTTTGAAGCAAAATATACATTTTCTGTGGCTCTTATTTATCTCTTTTTCATGTTGGTGAATATTTGGAGTTGATAATAATGATCATACTTTGAAATTTTATATGCACTTTGCTTCTACTACATTTATTACTTTAAACCATTTAGTTTAAAATAATTTAAGCTTTCTATTTACAAGATTCTTATTTCTTGTGATGGATTTTTTGGGAAATAATTCTAGTAGTAAAACATTAAACTAGGGCCAGGGATATAGCCCACCTGCACGGTGCCTGCCTGGCAAGGGTGAGGTCATGAGTTCAATTCCCAGTTTAAAAAAAAAAACAAACTTCTCACGACGTTTTTTTCCATTCAACTTCTATAGATACATGCATTTTTACTGTTGTCTAGCTATAGTTCAGTTAAGCAGCCAAGATTTTTTTCAAGACACTTAAGTTTTGAAGCAGACTTCAAATAGTTTTAGAAGCTGCAATAAACACTACATATTGTGCTGAAGGACTAACATAGCCACAAAACTCAAAAATACTACAAATGTTTACCTGCTGTTCTACAATTGTGCTTTGCTATCTTCTGCTTAAAGATTTAATGTTTTTGTTTAATTCTGTTTCATTTTTCCTTATTTCAGGAAGGGAGAGCGAACAGAAATCAAGTAACAAGAGAAACTTAAGGAAAATTTTGAAGACAAATCCCTCCCTCACTAAGGAAATAAAAACAGTGTTGGAGCAGAGCTTGGTGGAGAAACTGGAAACGTTGGGCATTAATGCGGTACGTCCATCCACTTGGGGTGCTTTCTAGTTGGTTGTTGTTTCCTGAAGCAGGATGGATCAGTGAAGAGAGTTGGGTCTCTCTGTCCGTCCGTATTTGGAGTGCACGGGCTGAAACAGCGAACTCTGCCGGGCACCTGATGCTGCTCGGGGGGTCCCCGTGTGTTTCTAAGACCCGGCCAAGCACTGACTCAATTAAAGAAATGCATGAGAAACTTGTTTAGAAGCAAATCTCAGAAAAAAGTGACAGTATCATCTGCACTTTGTAGAACAGATTAAGCAACTTGATGAAGAGCAGGTCTTGTATCTAGGTGGTTTCTGGCAGGGTGCAGTTCTGGTGTTAGCCCCAAATTGTGGCCTCTGACGGACTCACACTTGGTGGGTATTTGTGGGATGAAAAGCTAGATGTACCGAAGCCGTTCATACTGTTTCTAGAATGAATATTTGAGCGCATCATATTACATATAAACTCTTTGTTTTCCATATTAGTAACTGGTATGCATAAAATGCACGGATTTAATCAACCGGATTCATTTTATACACCTATAAATATGTATGTGCCTGCCTATATGTATATGTATAAATGTGTGTATAAATAAAAATGCATGAATGCATATACATGCGTGGACACATGTAGGCCCAAACATACTTGCACATCATGTGTATGTATCTACATTATAGATGGTCATATGTGGTGTATGGAAGCATGTAGGTGTGTGTATACATATATGCCCATGTATAATGATGTGTATACATGTGTGCAGGTGTGTATATGTATGTGAATGCATACATAGCTGTGTCCAGATTTGTGTGTGCACTTACACAAGTATGTAGATACATGTATGAGTAGACCTACATGGATGTATTTGCATGTACATGTTTATATATGTACATGTACATGGGCTGGTATATACATGGATGTCTTGTACACATGTGTATATACATGTGTGATCTGTAGTACACATAATCTGGATAAGAAGATTGAACACTTCGACTCTCTTTTATCTCTTCCTCATCAATACCAACCCCTAGTCTCTAACCAGAGCTAACAGATTCTCAGTTTTGCTTATTCTTGAACCCCGTATAAGCAAAGCCATACACTGTGCAGCCCCGTATTTTGTCTTCGGCTTTTGTCTTTGTTCACACCTGCTGTTTCATGTAACAGTAGTTTATTTACCACATTGTAGTCAGTCGTATGAGTGTGCTGCATACTCTCTCCCTCTTGATGGACCTGTAGGTTTCAAGATTGGGCTCTGCTTGGTTATTAATTTTTGTTCCTATCTTTTGGCAGGCATAGGTCATTAAGACATATCTTTTTGGGTATTTAGGAATAAAATTGCTGGGTCAAAAGGTAGACGTATGTTTAATAGAGTAGCTACTGCTAAGTATTTTTCCAAAGTGTATGAAACGCGTTTTTTATGCCTAACAGTGCTTGAAGTCAGTTGCTTCACATTTTTCACCAGCTCTTCATGGTTTATTTTATTTTTTTAAATTTTAGGGAAGGGTCTACAGGGTGTTCAGGATCTCACTACTAGATGAGACTCATAGTGATCCGCCTACTTACAGCCTCCCAAGAGCTGGGATTATAGGCACACACCACCACGTGCAGTCTCAATTGCCATCTCAGTGCCCAGGAGTGGGGCCAGCAGGCAGGCCCAGGGATTGAACCCCTGGCCACTGTGCCTGCTTGCAGGTGCTTTAATCCACTGCAGCTCTTCATATTGAATATTTAATATCAGATAAATTCTTAGACAAACTTCAAACACCCTTATGGCCGTGGAAACCAAAGATATTCATGGGATGTCCCTGGTTCCTCTGCAGATTGCTTCTTCAATCAAACTGTAGCGGTTTTTTGTGTGTTTGTGTATGGCTTCTGGATTTTGATGTTAATCGAGACATTTCCTTTTTTTTTTTTCTAATTTCAACTTTTTTTTCATAATTTTATTGAGAAGTAAGTAGCAATGAGACCGTTTCAAATCAAATTGGTAGGACAGTTCCAATAATTAACATATTGCACACTGCCTTCCTAGTGGTTATTTGTTGTACAAGATGCAGACATTATATCCTATTTACAAACACTATTAGAACAAATCCCTCTATTAAAAGAATGTAGCTCTATGTCTATCCTAACTGTTTTGAATACACAGATACAAAATGATCATTCATCTATGTCCCCTTTTTTTGTTTAGTTCCATCATTTAAATATTACAGGTGTGTGAACCCAGCAAAATAGTCCAATAGTCCATAATAGTATTGGGTCTTTCATGACATTTCCTTTTATCCTAAGATTGTAAGGGCATTCTGTTTTTTTCCCTTAATGCTTGACAATCCTGTTTGTTTCTTCATTGTTTGTCTGTCTTGCTTTTGTCTATCTGGGCTTTAAGAATTAAGTTTAGAGGTAGTGATTTGTTATTTGAATTTTACTTCCAGTTAGAGGAGCTGTTCCAATGTCATCTGTTGAATAAACCATCCTTTCCTCCCTTGGTTTTTTTTTGTTGTTGTTGTTGTTGTTTTTTGTTTTTTTGTTTTTTGAGGAACTGGGGATTGAACTCAGGCCCTTACGCTTGCCAGGCAAGCACTTATTCTACTGAGCTATCTCCCCAACCCCTCTTTCCTTATTTAAAATGACAATTGAATCATAAGGAAATTTCTGTATATATTTGAATGTATTTTTGGACTTGTACCTTTTTTTGCCACCTTTATTTGCATTCCTTTGCCAACGCTGTGCTGGTTTAATTATATTAGGTTTGTCATACGTTTACATATCTTCCATTGGCCATGGCATTTTCATTTCGAAAATGTCTTATTTCAAAAATTTCTTTGTAGGTCTTCCTCTTTTTTTAAAATTTGTTTTCCAGTGGACTTTAGAAAAATATCTCCAGTTCCAGAGTAACTCCCGTTGAGACTGATTACAATTATTTTAACTTTTCCTGTGAATTAGGAAAGATAGACATTGGGGAGGTTCTAGGTCCTTCCATCCAGCTGCAGGGCATAGGAAAACAAACATTGAGCAAGTGATCAGAGAAGAACTCCAATGATAGATTTAATGAAGTGAAATGAAGGAAAGGGGGAGTGATTTGATCAAATAACTGAGATCAGAGAAAACTTCTTGGAGTTAGCTCTTAACCTACCTGTGGCAGATGTCTGTCGTGGCCAGGTGACTCGGGTGGCCACCCCCTGGCATGGCCAAGGTTGCAAGAAGAGGGATGCAGAGGGGAGTAGGGTTGAAAGCAGGAGACACCATAGTTAAGTGAGCAGCCCCTGAGCTGATTCTCTAGCATAGGTCCCCGTGTCATCCACAATACTTTTTTCAGATCACCTCTGTAATTTTGCTGGTTTCATGATTAACAGTCACCTCCAATGACTTCCCTGTGGTCGACCTTTAGGCTTTTCGTGTTGGCCTTAACTCTCCTTTTCTAGTCTGACCATCCAGGCTCTTGTGGGATTAGCCAGTGTGACATAGTTTTACTTTCTTCTCCCCATCATGTATCCTAACCCAGCGCCTGAACATCCCAACTCCTTTCTACTTGCTTGACTCCATGCCTCCACTGGGGCACGGCTCACGCTCCTGCTTCAGTCCTCTGGCTGCAGAGGCCTCTGATGTCTGCCCATAGGATCCTCTTGGTCCTCACCATGTTACCTGCGTCAGCGGTTACCTGTTTGTTAGCAGTCCTGCACATCTCTCCATGCCTAGCTGTGTGATCTCTTTAGGGGGCTGGGCAGTGTGTCACAGGACGGGGAACCCTCTACTTTACATGCAGCTGGAGGCCAACGAGGATGAGTTGGAACACTGGTATAATTAACGCTACCTTGTGCTCATGAAATGAAAAATATCCCAGGACTTGTAGAAAATGCATATACCTTGCACCCAAAAGGTCAGGGGAATAAGTGAGATATACAAGCTCAAATGTTGTGTGATTTCTCTTATATGAGAAACCCGAAGTATAAATAAAGAGCAAAATAAAAGATAGGTAACAGGAAACAGGAGATAAAACTTCCCATTTATTGTCAGGACGTACGTGGTATTCCAAGTGATCACTTGAATATTGTGATGAGATCTGTGGAATCAACGAGACATGAGCGAGAAAGACAAATACCAAACATGCCGCAAATCCGAGAGGTCCTCGAGCACCAGCTCAGCTGTAAAATTGAAGAGAGAACATTACTCTCTTCGGGTAAGACTGTCACCTATTGCCATTCCATTGCTACAGGTGGGAGCCTAACTTAACACCCTTTCATACTTTTAAGTCATTCAAAAAATGTTGGCTCTTCATTGGCAGCACTCTTGGTGTTTGTACTGTTGAGTGTTTGGCGTTGGGTTTTATTTCTATGTAAAAAAAAATCCCTGGACTGCAGACCCTAGAGACAAGCCTGTTGGTTTCCCTGGCCCCAGAGGAAGTACCATACGCTTGTATTTTGCTTTTCACTTGCTGACCATAACAGCAATGGAGACTCACGAATGACACTGCTATTCCAGATAAGCTCAGTGTTTCTCAGATGGATACGCTTTCAGCGGGAGAAGTATCCAAATCAATCCAACATCCTCCCAAAAGCAGACAGTTGGTTAGACAAAGACCTGTTTTTACTGATAGGACGGCTGTTCCAAAGTGAGTATTTTCAGTCTTAATGTTTGTTTGTTTGTTTGTTTGTTTGTTTGTTTGTGTCAGTTAATTCAGGCTGCCATATAATATACCATAGATTGGGTGGTTTAAATAGCACAAGTTGCCTACCTTACAATTTTGAAGGCTGGGGTCTGGGATCAGGGTTCCATTGAGGCCAGGTTCTGTTGTGCCCCCCCTCCTCGTCCCCCCGCCCCATGCCTGGTGCACTTGCTGTGTGTCTCATGGTGGAGAGCAAGGTCTGGCCTCTTGTTGTCTTGTAAGGGGTTTCCTCATAGAGACCTAGTCTTGGGACTTCATTTATCTCTAATTACTTCCTGAGGTTTCTGCCACTGGATACCATCATTCTGTAGATTAGGTCTTTGCTATACGGATTTGGTGGGTCACAAACATTGAGTCCGTAATCCTATCTTCAGTCCCTTGCAATTTCTTGTTGCCACTGGGGACTCATTGCTTTCCTTCTTTAATGTATGTTGGAAGAGAAGCTTCTCCAATCCCCTAGAAATGTGTTACGCTCTATGACTCATGCATGTCCTTTAGAAACATTTTTTCTGTTTGTTGTTTTGTTTTCTTTTTTTAGACTGAAGAAAACTGTCATAGAAGATCGTCTTCCTAGAAAGTCTTCGTCTACTTCGTGAGTGTTAGGCAAGGTTGGGGGTAGCAGTGGGAGTTATTTAAGATATTCTTTTCACTGAACTGTCCTTTCATAATAAATTAGTGTGCTCATTGAGGCGAACCAAAGCCACAGTTATTAAGCATCCTAATGTGTGTGCTGTTCTGTGTGATGAGTCTTTACAAATCATGTAGAGCAACAGCACTGAACCACATTATGGTCGTTGTGAAGAAGAGGGGCCTCACCTCGCGTGTTCTCATACTCTTTCCTGTCCCCGCAGTAATTTCTCAGTAAGCACACTTAACTCACATGGATGGTGTTGAGTTTAAGTCTTGATTTCCTTAAAATTTTTCTGTAGTATGGAATAATGCTGGTAATTTTATGGATTAAATGAAAATAGTATAAAAGGGCTCAGCTCAATGTTTGCCTCTTGTGAGTTCGCAATAAATTTTAGGCCTATTGCTATCTTTAGTTATGAATAAGATTAATTTTATTGTCAGGGCTGGAGAGATAGCTCACTAGTCTAAGTGCCTGCCTGGCAAGCTCAAGGACTCGGGTTCGATCCCCAGTACCACAGGGTGTGCCATGCCCCAAATCCTAGGCGTATCTTGCCGGCCCAGAAACTGGGCATGGTGGCGCATGCCTGTGTAATCCCAGCACTGGGGAGGCCCAGACAGGAGGGTCACTTCGAGTTTGAGCTGCATAGCAAGACCTTGTACCACATAAATAAATAAATAAATAAATAAATAAATAAATAATTTTTTAAAAAATTTAAGAAAGACTAATTTTATTGTCATTGAATTGCACCATCACTGGCTTACTATGGAGATATTGAAGCCATGAATATCTTTTTTAAAAAAATGTATTTAGTAAACGGTCTACGGGATCTTTCTACACAGATCAGACTCATAGTGATCCTCCTGTTTTCAGCCTCCCAAGCACTGGGATTGCAGGCGTGCGCCACCACACCCAGTCTCACTGTCTTAGCGCATCCCCAAGGGCGGGGCTGGCACAGCACATCTGGAATCCAACGCTGGTCCCTGGGCCTGCCTAAGCAGGCATTTTAGTCTGCTGAGCTATCTGGCAGGCCCTGAAGCCTTAAATATCTACGAGGCACTGTGCAGTAGAGAGAAACGGTGATTTATTGTTTCAATCCACTTTTCATGGACACAATCTCACAGGAAGAGCTTTATTTTATGAGATATCATATGAGTGAATCAAGATTCACAAGTCTTACGTGCCACATAGAATTCAGGTGCTTACAAGCATTATTTGAATAAGCGCTGCTCTGAACTTCCAGTCCATTTTAGAATGGAGATGATAATTCATGTGATTGCACAAAAGAGGCTGTGTATGTACAAGTACTGAGCATGGCACTGTGTGAAGGGGAGCTAGAACTAATGACATTATTGTAGAAGAGTAGTCTTGTTGTGGAGAGAACTCCTCCTTCCCAGAGAAATGTTTTCTTAGGACTGTAAAGAACAAGAACATTGAGGATACACACATTTGGCTTTGAGGGGAAAGGTCGCAACGTTAGTCCATGTTGAGAACCATGCTCTGGAATGACCCAGCAGCCTTGTTCAGGACGCTGGGCCACCCTGCCGTCTTGTCTGAGGCCACAGGCTCTGTGGAAATTCTCTAAGAAAGTTTTCACAGTGTTACGAGGGCTTTGGCTTGGATCTATGTAGGACACCTCCCTTCAGTTCAGAGGAGGAGCTGGATGATGACGGCTTCATCCAGGCGTACGTGTCCCCAGAGCTGCTTCCTGTGCAGCTGTCCCAAAGCAGCAAGAATGGTGTCGGAAAGAGCGCTGTCAGGAGTGACACAGACTGGACCGAGGGAAGTGAAGTTGAGGACTCTGATGTTTCTCCCAAGCCCACAGGTGAGCTTTGAAAGTCCTGAAAATTGTCTTTAGGACAGTAGTCCTCACCCAAGGACACAGAGTGCTAGAAACCTGGGCGGGGAGAGTACACAGAGAGGATAGGGCTCATCCACCTTAGCAACACAGATGTACCTAGCAACCAGCCCATCCTCAAGCTGACAGAGAAGGGAGGACCTGGGAAACCTGGGTGCATCCTTTTCTGGGGGCTGCTATAAGAAAGGACCAACTATGCAGTTTATGTATTGTGTAATTGTATAATTATGTGAAATATAACTAATTTCAACATAGTTTACGTTGTTTTGAAAATACCCATTTAAATAATTCTTTCATGCAGGAAAGACAGAGATACAAGTTTCTAACCACATACTTGAATGAGACCATCCTTTTTTACCAAAGCCTCTATGTGTTATTTATTTATTTATTTATTTTTTTGGTACTGAGAATTAAACTCAGGACCTCACACTTGCCGGGCAAATGCCCTGCTGCTGAGCTGTATCAGCGGCCCAGAGGTCAACCTTTTTTGACTTGAATTAAAACCTTTATAGCTTTTTATCTGGAGGACAATGATCTACTTTTAAAAGGAATTATAGTGTTTGACTCTTTTTTAACTCCTGAATGCATTAATTAATCTTATTTTAGTAATATATAATTATGAAAAAAATATATATAATTGTATACAAAGTTTAGATACTTTTAGAGTTGCCTGTAAGGTTATCCTGGAAGTGAACGCAGATGGATTTAGAACTCTTTTCATGATTAATTTCTGCTGATCTTATAGGAACTGCCATTAAGTCATTAACTGAAAAAGTTGAAAAGATGGTTTCACATCACAGAAATATAAATAAACCAGTTGGTGGGATTAACGTTACTGAAGTGTTCATGATAAAAGAAGAATTACAGGAAGAACTGAAGGTGAAAACACTTTTACTTGATAAACATGCATTAAATCATCTGTTGATTAATTCTTTTCCTGTTTTGTTTTAAGATAAGGTCTTGCTATGTGTTCGAGTCTGGCTTTGAACTCATTATACTGTAGTCCAGGCTGAAATTTGAGGCCATCCTCCTGCCTCAGCCTCCCAAGGGCTAGGATGACAGGCGTGTGCCACCATGCCCAGCTGATGGGTATGCCTTAACAACTATGCTTTATAGTAAAATATGAACAAGTACAAATATTTAGCATGAGAGAGATTGAGATTTTCATCTTGTTTTGTTTTCAGTATTGTATTTCAATTTAATAGAGAATAAAAGATATTGGAGTGAACGTTGGTGAAGACTGAACATCCCTAAGCCGAGAAGTCTAAGAGCCTAACCATTTTCCGCACCAACATCACACTCAGAAAGTTGCCCATTTGGGGGTCAGGGCAGTAACCCTGTGTACAGTCTGTATTTGGCATGCGCGAGGCCCTGAGTTCCATCCCCACTCCAGCATGCACGCGTCAACGTCAGCCCAGAACTGGAACTGCTTTGCGTTTCTGACTTCAGGGCTATCGGTGCTCATACCCTGTAAAGTCTGTGCAAATGCCTTCTGAAAGTCAGGAAAACTGTAAAATCTGAAACGCTTCTATCCAGGCCTTTTAGATAGAGGATGCTCAACCTGTAATAGTGCATTCCATGCGTATTGCACTTGAGTTCACATGTGTTATTTGCTGCTGCCGGGTGTCCAGTTGTGTATACACAGAAAGTTGCTGCTGCTGGAATCTGAGGTCTCCACATCCGAGTCTAAGGGCTTTAGTCCTTTAGGAGCTGGATCAGATGGAGAAATGCTTTCACTCCTACAAGTGAGTAGGAGATGAGGGCTTGTTTAGAGTAGCACAGTTCATAATAGCTAGACTTTGGAAGTGGCCTGTATGTCCATCAACAGATGAGTGGAGGAAGAAGTGTGGTCTTTATGCACAGCGGAGCCCTACTGTGCCATAGAGGAGGAAAGTCACATGTAAGAAAACAGATGCAGGGGCCGGGGAGATGGCTCAGTGGAATAAACACTTCCCTGGCAAGCACAATGGCCTGAGTTCAATTCCTGGTTCTGCCAAAAAGAAAAAGAAAACAGGTGCACCCCGAAAGCACAGTATCCAGTGAACTAAGTCAGATGCACAAGCTGAAGGGCCACGTGGCTTCTCTTACATGAGAGACCCAACACCCAGATAAAGAACAGAATAAAAGATGACAGGAGGCAGAGAGACACGTGTTTCTCAGATGGGACGGGGATCAGGAGATGGGGGAGGGGATGAGGAAACGCAGGAGGATGTGTTGTGCACACGGAAGATGCACAGGAGGAATGTCGGCGTTAGGTACTGCAAGCATGGGCTAACAAAAGGCAGACAGACAGAGTGCGGCCTTTGTCTGGAGCAGACAAGAGGCTGGGCCATTTGCTGAGAGTTCCAACACCCAGGATGCCAGACCGGGTGGAGCTCCACTGGTTCTGGGGAGCCACTGTGTTCCCACGGAGGTCACTCTTTTCTCAAATTTTCACGAACAGTAGAGTTAATTTGTGTTCATCTGGGGAATCCAGAACATTCTGTCAGGGTATTTTTATTAGTGCTATTTGTGTTACACAAACTAAGAATGATAGAAAGCTCAAGAGGTGTGTAGCAGGAGAGAGGGTTTGTTTCCACAAAAGCTATTCCCACAGGGCTTGTATATGGGGCACACAATGTAGTGTTCTGGGCATTTTCTGAATTCATGGTATATTTCCATGGCATGAAACAAAAAAGAAGTGATTCCTTCAGGTATCAAAACACGGACTTCCAAATCCATTTGTTGCTGGGCAGAAATGCCTAGATTTTGGATCCTGTATCATTCCCAACTTTTTGTTTTGTTTTGTTTGAGACAGAGTCTCACTGTGTAGCCCATGCTGGCCTTCAGCTTGTGGCAGTTCTCTTGCCTTGGTGCTGGGATCGCAGGTGTGTGCCACCATGCCTGGCCGGTCCCAACCTTTCTTATCATACAGTGTCAGCTGCTCAGTGTAAACAGCGAATGATTCGGGCGCCGTCCTTTAAGACACAGGACTTAACTCCACATGTCCCTCTTTAAGTGTGCAGATGTGGATGATGATGACTGGGATGTGTCATCCTTGGAGGAAGAAAAGTCTCTGGGGAAAAAGCCTGGGAAAGCCCAGAAGGATCTTCTACCTGTGAAGAACGAGTCCAGTTCTGCTCAAGTGCGAAATGCCTGGGGCGCATTCTAGGGCCCCGGGGAGAAGGTGTGTGGCTCCCCGTCCCCTCCTTTCCTGTTAGCTGTTTCCTCCTTATGAGCATCTACTTTCTATACACCAGTAGCTCCTCGGACAAAAACACATTGTGTAAGTAAGACCTTGAATGTTACATGGTATTTAAAGACCGCCTATTTACAACCTACTGATGACACGTTCACTGATCATTTTACTTACTTTGGGGCCTAGTCTTTCGTGCATAACTTTTGTTATATTATTTTCCAAAATCTCCGAACAATCTCTTCGTGCAGATGCCCCATAGAAACTAAGGCTTCTGGTCTTTCTTCCACCTGAAAGAGACTATTCTTCTGGCAGCCTTCTTCTATTCCTCTGTTTCCCATTAAGTATTTTTCTTGATTTTCTTCCAGAGGAAGTTTTTCTTGTGGCATTGCAGTCAGTGGGATGAATGACCAGTGAAATCATTAGTTGAAACGCTTCCCGTCCACTAAGGCTGGAGCCTGGATAAATGCAGTAACTTAACTCTCAGCAGATTGCATTCTACAAATTAGAAAAGCGTAATTCATATTTTTTATCGAAGTGGTTCTCCCACAGGGTGGGAACCAGGTGAATAGGGGCCCCTGTCATACCAACCCAAGGGCTCAGGAATGTTCCAAAGTCCCAGTGCCTTATTTGAGGGCTTCCGTCTTTGCCTGTCGAGTCCCCTGCTGAGATGGATGAGGCTTTGGCTCATATCCACTGGCTGATTGGCCTGTCATGCCTGCCCACTACTCGGTGCCCTTATTTGTAGTTTTCGTTAGTCCCCATCCTGCATGTACATACATGTACGTTCCTTTCTCAGTGGGGCCTTGTGCACTGCACCCCCTCTTAGAAAATGAGCTCTCATCCCTTGTCCATTTGCTGTCATTTACCAAAATGTCAATCCTCACTGCCTGTCCCAGAGCCCACATGCAGTTATCTCTGCTGAGAAGCAGCTCTCATCTTTGAACTTCAAAAATCCATGTTGTGTTCCCTGCCATGTAAGTGACAGGGCCAGAAGATGACCAAGGCCATGACCCCACACCCTCGATCAAAGTGCCAGTCCAACCAGAGAAGTGTTCTCTACACTGTACTTACTACTTCACTGGCTGCAAAGCCTGGCACATTTAAAAGTTTGTGTACCTTAAACAAATCTTTAACATTTGACCTTCTAGTACAGAGATCTGTGTGGACTTACTGACTTTATTCTCCATTCTTTACTACACCTGCTCCCTCAGAGGTGTGGATGTGGTGCTGGCGCTGACGGACGGGGCAGTTGGAGCTGCCAGGCCCTGTGTTGCAGGCTAGGAAGGAGAAGCAGGACCTTGCAGGCCACCGGGGTTGTGGGAGGGGACCCTGGAGATGTGCCTGGTTCATGCTGGATTTTATAGTGGTCTCCTCCTCATGGGGGCTGGGGCTCCGGTTTCCTGAAGAGGGCAGGACTCTGATAGATGACTGTGGAGTCACAGGCTTTCTAGGCTTGACAGTGTTTATATAACTACTGGGGATTCTTTTCTTCTCCATCTCCCTCCACAGGACTTCAAGAAATGAGTGTTTTAAAAAGCGGCACTGAGACTGACAGAGTGACTCTTAGATTCATAGCTGTAATTCCGCACCTCAGAAGATTCTCCCAGAAGCCAACGGGATTCAGCGGCGGCCCACACGATTCTCAAGCTCCTGCCTTACAGTGTTTCTCTCAGTAACAAGGAAGCCACCTCAGAAAACAAGTGTCTCTTAAGTGGCACTCAATACAGTATTGAAAAACAAACTGTCAGCAGTATTTTAAAGCATAAAAAAGTATTTCACTTCTGCAGCTAAAAAAAATAACATGCCATTAAAGTCAGAAAAAGTGTCTTCTTCAGAATGGTACTCCAGTGTGAACTGTATTTTTTTTCAATTAATTTTTAAGTGAAACTTCTTTGTTTAAAGCTTGGTTTGAATTACTACAGCTTTTTTATATCTTATGTGTATTGTCCCATTGGGCGCATTGATATAAAATTCTTTAAAATTGCAATAGTGAGCAGTAAAGTCTAAAGACTTAGATTATTTGTCATAGTAGAAGTTTAGAATGACAATATAACTAGGCCCACTTTAAATACATCTTCCTAAATTTCTTAGTCATCCTCAGCTTTGGGTCACTGTCAGCATGTTGGCACTAAATGGTTATTTTCTGTGCTGTCATCTTTTATCTTAGATATTTTATGAGTACAGTGTAGCTATGTAAAAGGCCAACTAATCTATCAGAATATGAATAAAAAAGATCGATTCATTACTGAATTACTGTGTAGGTAGGTTTTCTTTTTTGGACTTGAAAAATAGCCAACCCATGTTATAAAATACCTCAAAACTAATTTAAATTGTTGAATGACATCGTTAAAGGCCAAAAGGTTCATATAAAATGTTTTTTGTTGTTCTTTTTTTTTTTTTTTTTAATACTTGGTGGTACTATCTGTACTTTGTTACTGAAAAAAAGTAACGTTTTAACTAGATGATTTGTTGGATTTTAGATTTCTTTTCATTTGTCAAGTTTACCAGTAAAGCCCTCTTCATCACTCTTGTGACTGTGGCTGATTATTTTGAGATGATTTCTGAGTTGAACTTTTTGAGTCAGGGTCTTGTCATGCTGTTTAGGCTAGTCTTGAACTCATGGCGATCATCCTCCTGCCTCAGCCTTGCAAGTGCTGGGATTATAGGCGTGCACTGCCACACCTGGCTGACTATACTTTTGTGAGGGCTTGACTAGGGGAGGGGCCTGCCCTGGTAGCTGTGTCGTGTCACATCCTGGCTTTAGAATAAACCTGTTTGTGTCTCTCCAGGTCCTTTTCATTTGTATGTGTCCTAAATTTGTCAACATTTCCCCACCTTCCTACAAGAGCATTTTAATACAAATATACTCATTGTGTATTTCTAAAACCTTTACTAGCCAGGCATGGTGGTGCATGCCTGTAGTCCCAGCACTTGGGAAGCTGAGGCAGGAGGATCTCTGAGAGTTCAAAGCCAGCTTAGTGAGTTTAAAGGTCAGCCTTGAACTACACAGTGAAACCCTGTCACAAAAAAATAAAATGAAACCTTTACTAAATGGTGAGTCAGCTTCGTGTGGAAGGACAGAGATGCACAGCCTATAAACCCATTGGAGGCCATGCATTACTTGGAGGAACCAGTCCATGCTACAGCAGGGATTTATGGAGCCATTTGCTTTTGGTTTGTCTTCCTTTTTAAACCATCTTAGTTCACCTGAGCAGAACTCTTCTGAGATGCAGTCATTTGTAAAGTCCTCACTCCAGAGATGTGGGATACAATTAGAACAAGGGCAGAGCTCTCCTGTACCTTTATCCTCTACTGAAAATTTTCACTACATTTTACCAGCTCAACATTTTTCTAAAAATGTTGTTTTAAATGCATACCCACACAGCCCTGTCCCCCACGTTAGCCCGAAGCACCTACCCTCCTTTTGTATCTCTCTGGAGAAAGCTATGTCAGGTACTGTGCTAACAGGGATCTCACTAGTATGGAGTTTTATTTAAACAAACCTGTTCATTCCCTTTTCTACCATTCAGCACCCCCAGCCCTGTGATTTGTTTTCCTTTTAAGGCTTTCACACTTCAGGGAAATGATGATTCACTTTCATTGCAATTCAGAGTGGACAGCTTCCTACGGATGGCACAGGTAGCACTGAGCTGTGTCCCCTGCCCTTGCTGGCTCCTGCGTCTCTGTCTGTCTGTCTGTCTGTCTGTCTGTCTGTCTGTCTCTCCTTTTCTCTGTCTCCCACACCTCCCCATGCTGAGGATGGACGATGAATCCCAGGGCTGCCTCTGTGCTACCACCCAGCTATATTTCCAGCCTTTATAGTTCCAGTTCTGTATTTTACCCTAAACTGTCCCAAGCCCTAAGTCCTGTTCTGCCACTGCTGTGACAAGTTACTGAAACTCTGCTCTAACTTCCTTCTCTAAGTGCAAGCATGCCAAGTGCGTGCTGCACAGGGAGGCCCGCGGGGTGAGGCAGGCGTGTGAGCTGTGAGTGCGCAGCAGTGACTGACTGCTGCCCTCGTGGGCGTGTTGTATTTAGGCCTGGCCCTGGGCCTCTGTATCCTTGTTCTGAAACCACTGGAGCAACTCACATGTCTTGAAAACTGACAAGTCCCTCAGTTCCTAGTTAAAAACGACCTGAAAGACAGCCCATCAGCCCTGAGTGAGGCAGTGCCGTGATGCTGCCGCGACTTGCTTTGTTGCTTCCAGCCCTGACCACAGCTGGTGGCTGCCACTCAGCTCCCCTGACATACTGTTGGGTCAGAGAAGCTGAAGCAATTACTTGAGGTGCGTGTGCTGCAGAAAGGGCAATAACACTGTGTCTTGTTGGCCCTTCCTTGAGCCATCAAAATGAATGACAGGTGTGACAGATGGGTGTGAAAGCCAGAAGGCAACTCCATGCAGCAGCACGAAGTATTGTGTGTTTAACTTGGACGAAGTGTGAGGAACAGTTTCAAGGTGGCCCCATACTGTTTAGAAAGCAGTATTCTTTGGATACTTCCTGCTTAAAATGTGAATGAAACAAGGAAGGGTCAAATATCTCAAAGTATGAATGATCAGAAAAGACTATTACTATAAATACTTTTTGAACCTTTGACACCAAATGCCTTACACACCCTCTAAATGTATGAAATGTATAAATCCTGTAAATAACCTGTTTATTTTTTTATAGAAAGCCGTAACAGAAAATGATTAGTACATAACCATGTAAGAACATTTACATCCATACAATCAAGGAATTCTTCATTTTAAAAATAGTGTTAATTAGAGGTCTCTGATGGGATCATTTTGTGAACAGTCCGTTTTGATAGCAAACTCAAGACAGCTTTCTGCAGAACTCCTCAGACATAAGCATTTTTATCGAACTGTTTTGAAGGGTTTGTGGTTTTAAAATCTCCTTCTCCACCGTGATACTTTGTCCGAGAAGACATCACAGACGTGGCTCCGTTGTATGTGTACCCCATCCTGCAAAAGCAAAGCAGTTGAACAGACTCCATTCACCTTGTAGGACAAACACAGACTGGGTCTGCCCATTCTGTCCATAGCAAAGCTTGAGTCTTCCTCTTTCTTGTTAGCTTTCCTCCCTGCTCTAGCTCTCAGGAATAGCTCAGTGGCACTGCTGAGTAGCTCACAGGACAAAGAATCTCTGAAGAAGAAAACCAGGGCTTACTCAATTGTTCAGTTACTCTTTTTCAAAGCTTTTTTAAATTTTTACTTTAGGGAAGGGTCTACAGGGTGCTCAGGGTCTCACTACTAGATTGGACTCCTAGTGATCCGCCTGTTTACAGCCTCCCAAGGGCTAGGATTATAGGTAGGTGCCACCACTCCCAGTCTCAATTGCCATCTCAGTGCGCCCCGGGGGTGGGGCCAGCATGGCAGGCCCAGGGATTGAAC